CGGAAATCTATCGTTTCCCAGAACGACGTTAAAAATAAACAATCTGGAAGACAGCGTTTTCTATGTTTTTATTAACGGACATTTATGGTTGGATTAGTCAATTTTGAGATATGGAAAAGTAAGAATGAAATAAAAGTCAACACAGGATTTAAAAACTGAATGAATTTAAAATGTTTTAAACAGTTTCATACATTAAAAATGCATTCTTGAGTTCAATCGTTTACAGTGTTGCGTTTGTGGTACCGTTTACGACCTGATTAAACAATTTCATATTAGCATGCATTACATTTTTATCAAGTAAATATCTCTAGTGTTTCGTGAGATAAAAGAGAGAACACCACATACCACCCAATTGAAGCATCATCCATCCTAATCTCGTGCCTCCCGCTTCTTCGTCAACAAAAATCTGAAAGCAAGCGTTACAGTCGATTGAATCGGAAAGCAAGCGTTCTGAATGAACACCTCGCAAAAGCGCGTGTAAAAATAAGGTTGTACGATGTGAAAAAATCGAGACAAAGTTACTATCGTCATCATAGAGTTTGCACGTAATATGATAAAAAAAAAAAAAGGTACTGCACATAACAGCGTTTCTCTTCCACATATTAATGAACTTTTTATCGAATATGAATACACTGTTAAAAAGATGTAATGTAACATCAAAAACTTACATCCTATTTAGGATAACTGTTCAAATTATCGGCGTGTTTGATCGTGTTATGTATCATCTAGGGGTGATTTCACCCTAACTTCACACTTAAAAGTATGGATTTGGTGCAACTCGCTACTCGAATTAGTGTGACCTCCTTGTAAGATGTATACATTCAGAAATGGTCGAAACGTTACACCAAAGTTTACACCATATTTGGAAAAAAAATCCAGAAACTGAAGTGTTTGATAGCTTAACACCATAACACGTCGTACACACTATATATTCTAATATATAGCAAAAATATGTCAAACAAATTTTACAATTGCCGATCGCCCACAAGACTAGAGGGTCACCGGATTTTATTATAATCTATTCTTATTTACATACTAATATATCATGAAAATAATATCTATATATGTTCCGGACCATATGAACATTTGGACCATACGTGTATTTACATACTAATATATCATGAAAGAAATATCTATATATGTTCCGGATCATATGAGTATTTGGACCATACGTGTATGGTCATGACCATATGCGTATATACTCATATGGTCCGACCATACGCGTATGGTCCGGTGAATTAACACAATGAACGTTGAAAAGGTGTCCCATAAATTAAGCGCTTCTAAAAATGCAATGTTTACTTATTCAATCATATTGTAATCATTGTTTCATGATTATTGAAATAAAATGAATTTTACTTACAAGAAGGAAATATTGTAAAATCGATTGCCTTTTCATTTGTTCGAAACGCAATATGTCGACTAATGAAAATAATTTTAAGAAATATCTAAATGAACTGTTAATTATAAAACAAGAAGTCAATTGCTTAACTCGCATGAACTTCGGTCATTAACAACCCTTTTTTTCTTTTTTGTGTTTTTATTAAATTAAAACTTCTTAAATGTTTCAAATTTTTTTTGGATATCTAATGTGTTCTTGCTCCTATCTATATATCTTAAAAGAACAGAAAAATAGTATGAATAGGAAAAAAACACAATAATTAAACGAAAATAAGTTGAGATTAGAAGAAATTTTATTTCTGAAATTATAATTTAAATACTTAGAAAAAAGAAAAATAGGCCCATGCAAAAAAAAAAAACACCTGTGGTTTCACTTGCGGACGAAAAAGTCGACATGATAATACGCTACTAATTGATTATAGCGGAGGCAAGATAACAGATGCACCAAGATTCAGACAGTATGTAAAGATACAGGAAATCAGTTAGTAATTTGTGCCGGTTTAAGTTCGGAGAATAACCTGTGTGCTCCTGCGAAGGAAATAAGAATTTATTTGAAAAATACCTATATGATCTAAATACTCATATGGTCCGGCCTGTTAATAACCAAACGAGTATTATATATATAATACTCATATGGTCGGACCATATGGGTATACGCATATGGTCATGATCATACGCGTATGGTCCAAATACTCATATGGTACAGAACATATATATAAAAACAATATTCAAACTGCCAATACGAGTTGAAAATTTTACTCTGTCATAAACGAACCCGCAAGTCAGGAAAAAACAACAACCAAGTTACCTCTGTTGATATGGAAACCTCTGTCCAAACCCTAATGCTCGGAAGATCGTCTCGAGAGATGTACATTCGACAGTAATGAAAATTGGCTTATGTTTACATAAACAAATTACAACACAAATGTATACTGGGGGAAAATATACCTATAAAGTGTGAAAATTTGAAAACGCAAACAATAATATGAATCAACATATTATTAAAACTTGACCAGTTCGAAGTTGCCGAGAGAATGGTCTAATTGGGAAATTTCCCCGCGAAAACTGACCCGTCACGTGTCCAGACATGTATACATGTATATCAAACAACCGTAAATACAATAATGTTCTTCTATATTTCGAAACTCGGAAAATCATTATTATGTATCACTCAAGTGAAAAATCACACTAACATATCATTTAAAAGTGTTAATTTACCAGGTACAACTAGCTTTCCCTGCAAGATTCAGAAAAAAGTCAACGTCATTTCATCCTTCCCAGAAAATCGGTGTGGCTTATACGATTAACTCTGATTTGATATCATGAAACGTGTTCGATGGGAACCTTTTTAGTAATAAAAAAAAGTAATGTTTCACCAAATTGTGTAGTTTTTTTCACTCCAGGACGCGTCCATTTGATTTTGGTTTTGGTAAAGGACAAGTTTAGTTTGAACAGAATTAAATTTGAGTCATTTTGTGTCGTACATTTGGTTCGAATTATTTTGTTTAAAAATATTTATCGTTTTCCAAAAAATAGCTAGATTGCTATAACTGCTACCAATCCAACCCAGTAGTTTAAATTGGTTTGTTTCGTAGCCATATATGCGTTGATAAAATAGAAGTGACAAATAAACGCTGAAGCTGAGCGCTAAAGAGTGTTGAACATGGTAAGTCCAATATGTTTAATACTATAGTTTTCAAACCCCCGAAAAATAAGTAAATAAAGGCAACAGTAGTATACCGCTGTTCAAAAGTCATAAATCGATTAAGAGAAACAAATCCGGGTTACAAACCTAAAACCGAGGGAAACGCATCAACTATAAAAGGAAAACAACGGAACAAAAGAAAAACTGAACTGCAACAAAAACAAACGCCAACATACATAGAAACGGACGCAATGCGCAGTAACATTACCATGAAAATAGTGTATCTCAGCGTTATGATGCACATTTCATGGTGTATTAAACTGAGTTTGTATTTGGTGTAAACTTATTTTCTAAGGTACCTACAAACGCTCAAAATGGTGCTACATTGACGAAAAATACTTTTCAGTTTGGTGTTATTTTACTCCATTTTAATTTAAGGACAAAATACAAGACAAAAGTTGGTAGTAAATTATTAAGATGGTATTTATGCTTTCTGTTAGTCATAAAACACATCAATGGTTTCAATTCAGAATTTTGCACTATCTTAAAATTCGGATTGATCACATAAACCCAGCTTGGCTGGTTAACAAATGTAACATTGGCATGATTGGTGCAAAAGTACCCTGTGCACAGCACTATTTCAAATATTTTGTATGTATAATTGATAAAATAAATGATTGTTTTAACTATAGTAGTTTAAAATCTTCTGGTTGAACATTTACACCAAAGTTTATTTCTATAAGTGTATGTTACCTTTCAGAAAATAAATTTTCAAGGAGAGTTATCGTGTTCTAAAGAAAATACCCTTGTGAATAAGAAACCATGATTTAATTAAGGCCGCTAAATTAATTTTCCCTTATATATATATGCAAGTTATATATTTTTTCTTCATTTCAGTGATTCGTAGACAAGACTCATGACATTGTAATGTTGTAGAATGAAAGTAGGCCTTTAGAATTATAAATGTAAAACTATTGAAGAGAGCTAAACAGGTGGTTCAAATAAAGAATCTGAAGTCGAAGTTTAAACTTCTACAAAGACTTATGATATTAAAAGTGAAAGAATTGACAGCCAGAAAGATCCAATATCCATCAACTGAAATAGTAGCTTCTCCAGATATAAATTCAGGCAATGGTTAACCAAATGTTAATCAGATGGCTAATCAGCAAGATGGAATGTCTTCTCAAGATCAATCTCAATCACCCGAAAGAGGTTTCATTTCTCACAGCCTAAATTTTTAGACCATTCAGTGACTATTGAAGATAGTATTAATCAGAAAATGAATATGGTCCTAAGTTCTAGTTCTGAATTAAAATAAGAAGAACACAGCTATTTGTGCGGTTGTCACGACTTATGATGAAAACCAAGTTCTATGATGTGATATAAACCTGAAAACAGGGGCTCCTTTCACTATCTAAAGTTTTCTGATACACGACTAGCGGTGTCATAAACTCTCAATGTGATGTTGTATTACATTGAATACAGTGCATCCGTTCATTATCCAAAGTGTAGTGATGCACATCTTATGGTGTTAACTGAGTTTGAATTTTGTGTAACCTTAGATTTTTTAAGGTACCCACAAACACGCAAAATGGTGCTACATCAACGACAATTGCTTGTAGATTTGGTGTAAGTTCACTCCGTAACTCGAGGATAGCTTACACCATAAATGGTTGCAACCCAACTACCACTGGTTTTCGTTTTAGATTAACTGTCACCAGTTTTGTGTTAAGTTACACAAGGAAACTTAACACCTTAAACAGTGACAGCAAGGTTGACACCAATTTTGGCTTAAAGCTACACAACTTTTTTTTACTATGGTATCGATAACTATATAATCTAAATAAAATTGTACAGCATACAGAGGAAATAGTATATAATATCAAAACGTTTAGCACGTAATATAATAAAGAAACCACAAAACAAAGTAATGAATATTATTTTACTTTTTCAGGAGCTTTTTTCATTCCATATTGCATATTTTTGGGGATTGTTGGTATACCAATATTTTTCATGGAATTATCACTTGGACAGTACAGTAGCTGTGGGCCAGTGACATGTTGGAAATTTGCACCATTATTTACAGGTAGGTCAGAAGGTGATATTGTTAAGCTCACCTGGCCTAAAAGGCCAAGTGAACTTTTCTCGTCACTTGCCGTCCGTCATCGTCTGTTTACTCTTACAAAAATCTTCTCCTCTGAAACTACTGGGCCAAATTTCACCAAGCTTCATTTGAGTATCTAGTTTAAAAAATGTGTCCGATGACCCCGCCAGTCAACCAAGATGGCCGACATGGCTAAAAATAGAACATAAGGGTAAAACGCAAGTTTTGCCTAATATTGTGAAAACCGCTCTGAATAGAGAGAATCTGACAAGGGTAAACATGGATAGAATGTTGAGCTCTTCCTGTTGTTCATTTAAGTCAAAACTGTCAGACGACTTATAGGAGTAATTGTCCTTAAAAAATGAATTTACCATGTTGTTTAATTTTTGCCGATTATCTCGAAAATTATAATTGATAGACAAAAACTCTAATTAGCAAAAATGCCTATTTTCTTGAAAACAATAATAGATAAATAGAAACTTTAAAAAGGAAAATTATCAGCAGGATAAGATCTACAAATATGTCAACATTACTGAAATTGTCAGTTAACTCTAATAGAGTTATTCCCCTTTAATAATGTTTAGCTTATTGTATTTCATTTGAGTAGTAGAGGTTTTCAATACAATTACGTTCGTATGTATACGTTATTCATCAAACAAACTTAATGGTACCGGTTATTGCAAACCAAAGAATTTGTTGAATACGTCGACCAAGTTTGAAAAATTATTTCAAGATACTCCTTAACACAAAAGTGTCCATATTGTTAGAAAAACTTATAATTCTCAACATTAAATACAACTTTTCCAAAAAGTAGAACACTATACTATATAAAATGATACTTGTAAAACCCTTGTAAAAGTTTATTTGTATTGAAATATCTGATTTTTTTTTTCTTTTAAACAAAAGCAAACTATTTTTTTATATAAATAAATTATGTGACATGCAGTCCTAACTGAAATTTACTGGAAAATTAATACTAACTTTATTTTTCTTAATTTCAAAAGAAACAAACTGTTTTTAACATCCTTTCAGAAACAAATAATATACTTTTTTTTCAATTCAACAAGGAGAAAGACTGAATTTTTTATAAAATTTCCATAGTTTTAGCATTCAAACCACAATAGGGTACGTAATCCTTATAACATATGATAAAGAATTGAACGACCATGCCGTCACCAGGTTACTGTTTAATCTAACAGCCAGACAGGTTATTCCATTGGTCCACGTGGACCCAATTTCATTGACGGCTAGAAATGTTTGCAAATATACTAATTCTTACCTTTTCTTTGATGCAAAATATCCAAAGAAATGATAAAATGACCCATTATGTCGTCTTGGAGGGCTATTTTTGAGGTTTTTTTTTATGTCTTCCTACGTGGTCTACAAAAATAAAAATAAAAAAATACCCACATGCCTTCTTATTTTACCTTGTACATGACGATTTCTAAAACTAAACGGCATCCTGTTATGATGAAGTATTGCTAAACTGCTTAAAATTAAGCCCGAAAAGAAAGACCACAAGAATAATTAGATAATTATCAAACGGGGGTTTGTAATAAGCAGCTTTATTTCTTTCTTGTTTACGAGAGAAAAAAAATCATCTCAGACAACCGGAAGTCGACTCTTCGCCAATGCAGTCCAAAAATTAATTTTATTTCCGTATCAAATGGAACATCTACGATTGCACGTTCTCTCCGTGATAACGTGAAAACAATTCATAGAAAAACATACGAAAGGGTTGATCTTACTCGTAATTTCATGGTTGTAGCATGAAAATTTAATAGTAAGGATTCACTGTTACTTTTTGTAATGTTATAGGGTTATAAAAGCGTTTAACGTGCGCACATTTTAAAATGAAACGCCCTTTATACTAAATGTGATTCCTTCAATGCTTTTACACCCCCAATACCCAATAACATAATTATAATATTATGCATACAATTTTTAAGTATGGTTAGATAGAATAATTCAAAATTTGCTTTATAAAAACGAATGGCCGATAACGAAACAAAATATCATTACAGGAAGGGATAAATTATATAAATAGTCCTTTGCTTTGTCCCTCCTAGAAGTGTGATATTTTTTAATTAAACCTTGATCTCTTTTTCCCCCCAGCAAATAAACGTTTAATTAATGGGAGTGATATTTATTTTTTTCAGATGAAAGTGGTTTGGATATATTTGGCTACAACCTTATCATTATTTTAACCAATACTGTTCTGATTTCAGGTATTGGTTATGGTATGGTTGCTGTATCTGCTTTAGTAGCAATTTATTACAACATGATTATAGCATGGGCCATTTACTACTTGTTTGCATCTTTCACATCAGAGTTACCATGGGAAACTTGTATTGGAAAAAACTGGTCAACAGAATGTAAGTATATATATACACACACACGTACGTTTCGGGAGGGGTTACCTTCTCGTAGGTATTAAACAAGAACGACTAATCACAATACACGAAGTATTTTTAAGTGTACAGGAATGACCATCCACTCATCTTTTTAGTATAAGTATGGCACCCTAATCGGAGTAATTAAGGGGGGTAAATTTTCACGGAACATTCTAGATCATCATGGGAAATTCTAAAATGCTTCAAACTTAATGAAAATGTACACAAATGTTGACTGGCATATGTAGATTTGGAATTTGACTTTGGAATTTCCAAAATGACGGCCGTTACCATGGAAACTGCAAAAATGTGAAAAATTTCAAAATGCTTCAAACTTAATATAACTTTACATAAATACCAGTTGGGTGCAGACCAAGCATTATGATTACATGTAGACGGGCGGAAAAAGTGAACGCGGCGTTTACTCGCGTGCACTTCATGTAAACGCCGCGTTAACTCCAAAATTTCAGTACACATAAAAAGTAAACGGGCGTTTACTTTCACGTTTACCTCCGCGTTGACGTGAAAAAGGCGCGTCTTCTTCTTTTGTAAAGAGTAAACGGGCGTTTACTTCCGCGTTTACTTCCGCGTTAACGTGAAAAAAGGCGCGTCTTCTATTTTTGTAAAAAGTAAACGCACGTTTACTGTTTGTAGTTGACGCGGGTTAATGCAGATTGGCATCGTATCCTGGATACACTGACCTATCGTATCACATGACTAACTACGTAAAATTTCTAACTGCACATTTTCGACAAAATATATAGATTAACAATTACCGTGAATGCATGATATGTCACGTATCAAATTAATTGAAAATTCAAAACTGTATATAAGTAACAAAAATATATTTTTTCCGGAAGCGTAAAACCTTTTTATTTTTATTTTTTGTCAGTGTGCATGGATTTTAAAACGATTGCATGTCCGACAACAAAATTTTCAGATTCATGATCTTACCTGAAGCCTGACCAAGATATTCTTGCCGTAGAATGTTGTCAACAGTTGACCACTAACTTACTCCTGGCACTATCTTAAATATTATTTTTACATCTACATACAGTTTTGCAATGCATGTATTTGCTTTTGACATATTTTTTTTTCAAAATGTTGTGCGAAGCGATAGCCATTCATTTATTTTTTGTAATTGAAACTAAAACTTTTTTTTATATTCTTGTACTGGCCTGATAATTAATTACTTTTTATACCTATACGAATGAATTGTTTGTCGGCATCAACAAAAGGTGCCAATATTTTCCTTTTTGTTAGAATATCATACAACGGCATTTAAATTCTGTTCTTTTGGTCCCTAAGAATGAATTGTATTAAACAAATTGAGAGCTCTATAAGTCTATGGTTACTAATATTCATGTCGATAACAATAAAAAGTGATAATATATATTTTTTTTAATCAATAATTTTGTACTAGCCTGATAATTGAGTACTTTTTATTCCTCAGGATGAATTGTTCAACATAAAAGTGAAGAAATTTAAGATTGAAATTGCAAAATTTGTTTTAGCATCAAAAAAAGGTGCCATTATTTTACATTTTCTTAGAATTTTATACAACAGCATTAAAATTCTGTTCATTTGCAAGGATGAATAGTTTTACATAAATTGAGAGCTCTGTTAGTCTGGGTTATTAATATTTATGTCGATATCAATAAAAAGTGACAATGTTTCTTTTTTTAATTAATATTCTTGTACTGGCCTGATAATTGAGTACTTTTTATACCTCAGGATGGATTGTCAGACATAAAAGTGAAGAAATTTAAGTTTAAAATTGCAAAATTTGTTGTCGCATCAAAAAAAGGTGCCATTATTTTCCATTTTGTTAGAATATTATACAACAACATTAAAATACTGTTTTTTTGGTCACTAAGGATGAATAGTTTCACATAAGATGAGAGCTATATTAGTCTACGGTTACTACTATTTATGCGGATAACAATAAAAAGTGACAATATTTCTTTTTTTCTATCAATGTTCTTGTACTTGCCTGATAATTGAGTACTTTTATTCCTCAGGATGTATTGTTAGACATAAAAGTAAAGAAATTTAGGTTTAAAATTGCCAATAGTCATGAGGCTAAGCCTATATATTGGTATGATTGATCTCTTAATAGTTAAAGCATGAAACTTTGCACAGTGCTTGTTATGACGTTTACAAACATTTTTGGATATGGAGTCATCTAAAAAAAATTCCATAATGGCCACCAAATTCAAAATGGCCGCCAATAGTCAAGAGGTTAAGTCTAATATACTGGTATAATTGATTACTTGATAGTAAAAGCACGAAACATTGCACAGTGTTAGTTATGATGCTTACAAACAATTTTGGATATGGAGCCATTTAATCAAATTCCAAAGTGGTCGCCAAATTCAAAATGGTCGCCCATAGTCAAGCGGCTAAGCTCAATTTATTGGTATAATCGACCACTTTATAGTAAAAGCATGAAACTTTGCACAATGTTAGTTATAATGCTAATGAACATTTTTGCATATGGAGCCATTTAAAAAATCCATAGAAGATACTGTACCCCAGTCATTGCTTTCTTTGGTCGATATAATTCAGTCGACCCAACATTCAGGATGGTTCATATTCGCAGTCAACATTAACAACGGCACAGCTTCTGATGTATAGTTGTACAAAGAAACTATCCAACCGTCATATAAAAGATCATGAACCCCCAATACGTACTTATTTTTGAATAATGATCCACTGTAAGACTTAGAAAATGTAATATGGTTAAACAAAATTATATATATATTCTTAAAAACAAAATATATATTAAAAAAATCATCTATTTGTTAATAAAAAACAAAATATATATTCAAATGACATATATATATATATATATATATATATATATAGATACCTCTACCAAGAAATTTGTTTTACATGCACACGTATAAAAATTGCGGTTTTTATCCAACGCAACCATAGGTTTGAACGTTGTTTTCGATTTAGACTTGTATATATATATGTTCATAAAAAGCAAAATATAAATTCAAAATATCATATATATGTTCATAAAAACAAAATATATATTCAAAAGATTTAGAAGATCGATCTTTTTAAAACCACCTCTGGAGATGGACTTTTTAAGTTCGACTGAAGATCGATCTATCCCGTTTATATTAGACAAAAGATCGATCTTTTTTTTAGATCTATCTCAGGAAAGATCGATGTTTTTTGCAAGGGTAAAAGGGGTCTAAGATTCATACTTTATGGACACCCTGACCCGAGTGTTTCACGTGACTTGCATATGTACATTGTTACTTTTTCTAGCCTGGCATCCTAGCCCTCTTCGCGTCTACTGTCGAGTAGTGAACCAGGATCCCAGGTTATTACTTTCTCACACGTGACATAGGTTTAAAAGATACAATATTGTATGAAACATACACTTATCTTCTTATATTATTATTTTGTAACTATAATTGTGTCGAATATTCTTATGTTATGTATATCATGTTAGAACTATATGAACAATTGTTACCTCAAAATGAAATAATAATACGATAACTTTAGTGCAAACTTATCCCTAAAAAAATGACTAAGTTTATGCATGGTAAACTTACCTATTAGTGATTAAAAATTTGTTTAACAGGATTTGATGTTGGGGAATGGGGCTCTCCCTTTCCTGAGAACCATGAGTTAGACCATATTTTGACTAAATAATGACTGTAATTTTACCCTTGTTTTATAAGTCATGCTAAAAACAATAAACAACAATTATTTTGATGGTTTTTATCATTAACTGTTTAATAACTTACCTATAGTTACCTTAAACATTGGTATAATTTCGATTCCTGGATGATAATTAAAGTAAGACTTGACCATATCTTTTGAAATTAGAACACACTGTCATGGAAGATTACATGGCCGTACCTTGACCTATAATGGTTTACTTTTATAAATTGTAACTTGGATGGAGAGTTGTCTCATTGGCACTCAAACCACATCTTCCTATATCTAAAGTCTGATTTCAATTGTTTGATGTACACCTTATTGTTATAAGGGTTACGTCTCTTGTTTACCTAAAACAAATGTCTTCACATTTACGGATGTTAACTGAGGAATCATTTGACCTATAAAGACTTTTTGAAATTTTAAGACAATGACGTGGACCATAGACATAAAGTAAATGTTTGATTTTGATGATTTTTTAAAGTTATCTTTCAAGAGTTAATTTCCCCTTAATGGCATGAAAACTCTAATTTTTGGTCTCGAAGAAAAGTCATATTTATTCTTCGATTTTAACGCAATGCTATGAAACATAAAATGAGGTCGCTTTCAATTTGAATTTCGGTTACAGCGTTTCAGAGTTTTTTTTGCTAGTTGGGGGTACATTTGATTAATATATGACCTAATTCTAGACGAATTGTGTTTTACATGTTTGTTTTTGGGATTCCAACTAATAATACACCAACAAGACAAGATCTACAAATAGTTCAAATTTTGCCGAAATCGTGTATAAACTCTTGAAGAAATGATTTAAAAAAAATTAATAATAAAAAATTAAAAAAAAAAAGAGAATCCGATGACTTCCTAATATTTTATATCTTTTAAATGGAAGTATTAACAGCAATAACATATAATGTTTGACCAATATTTTGTACACGGATTTTCGAAAAATTATCAGTTAAGTTAAGATAATTAATTTTGAAAGAATAAACATTTTTATTTTTTTCCATTTCAATTTCAAAATGTTTTCTTTTTGTACCCACCCCTTTCAAGTATTGTTTACCATATTTTTTTTTACAGTATGTTATGATAATGTGAATATAACAGATGAAGAAGGATGCACACATATGCATTGGAATCTAAATAAAACTACTGGAGTTTGTTATGATAGCAATGGTATCCTCCGGGGAATGTTCAATGAATCACTTGCGAAAAGTTTTGGTATTAAAAGACTTCTCCCATCTCAAGAATATTTTGAGTAAGTATAATTTAAATTATTTTGATTCAGTACTACTTTTTTTGTTTGAAGATATTTATTAAATACCTACTCAGAGAATTCAACTAAAAAAAATCACGAGTTACCAGGCTACGGTTTAAGTATATATTCCACATTCGAATTCTAACAATGTTTATTCTGTTGATGAATTTAATAACGTAAACGGTACTAATTTTATTGCACCAGATGCGCATTTCAACAATTCTTCAGCTTACTTGAAAATTTTACTTGAAGATATAATTTTTTTATAAAATAAAGATCTTACTTCAAGATTTAACATTTTATTAAGATCAACATCAAATAATGTGAAAACCTTTCTAGAAAATATTCATGAGATGGTGCATTCATCAATCAGAAAGCCAGTTATTGCTGGTTATTTCAAAATTGATCTAGGTAACATGAAAACAACATGTTATCAGTTATGACAAAATTTTAGTGTTTAGAGATATGAACTGTTGATTTCAAAACCTACTTTTGATTTGAGCTCCTTGGTCCACCAAAAAGAAAATAAGGTCAAGGTCAAAGGTCAAGGTCATGTTTATAACTTTGATTTTGGCTTATTTTTACTTCTTTTTAAAAACCGTATAAGATGTCGATAAAATATCATTACTGAATTATTATTTGCCGCATGTCGTAACAGATAAATTTTTGTTAAAAGGGTTTTCTCCACTCTTATATTCAAAATTATGTTTATGGTGATATAACTCATTACCCATATCTAATAAAGACCTAGAGTTTTTTTATTTGAGGTCATTGCTTTATGACCTTGCAATTGAATTCAAGGTCAAAGTTTAATTTGACGATCTAGATTTTGACCTTTGCTGTAACTTCTTATTGATAATGATTAAGTCATAGGGTCCTATTCATTGAGTTGCAGACATATCACCTTGAAGAAGGTCTATCGGAAATGACCTTTTGTAAACCAAAAGTAGCAATTTTTGCATTAAGTTCATGTACAATTTACTAGAACTTGATATTTTTTGAATCATTGTGAAGTAAGGTTGAAATAGAACCGGAAGTATCTACTTATCTTATTTTTTCGCAAAAGTATATCAAAATTATATTCTGAATCAGCATAAATTAAGCTATTATCTGACACCAGAATTGACCATTTAACCCAAAATTGTATATTTTCCTGTCTAGATATGTTTATTTGGGGTGGAAAGATAAAAAAAAATTTCTTCCGCCTAATTTTTTTTCTTGCGCAGTATTGTTATTTCAAAAGATGTAGCTTATATATTCGGTATATGATATCGAACAGTTTATACGCTTTTGAAACTGACCCTGTTTAACCGAACACTTTCTTGTAAGAGTTATCTCCCCAAACATTACTCCTTCTCAATCGTAAAAGATTACGACAAATTTATTTTACCAAATTGCTCGTTATATCTTCAGGATATGGAGAGGAATTTTGACCGAAGGGATTCGGAGACTCCATATGAGAGTTATTTCCCCTCACATATTTGCTATAAGTGATATGCATTTGTAACTGGTAAACCATAAGTGATAGAGACATAGGGTCTTTTGATTTGAGGTCCTTGGTCTACCAAAAAGAAAATTAAGTCAAGGTCCAAGGTCAAGGTCATGTCCTAAATTTTGATTTTGGCTTATCACTTATTTAAAAAACCGTATAAGATATCAACTAAATATGTTTACTAAATTGTTAGTTGCAACATGTCGTAACACATACATTTTGGTTTAAAAGGTACGTTGACATTTAATGGGAGTATCTCCCCTTTTATGTTTATGATTACTTATATTGTAATATATCTCATTAACCATATATAATAGAGTGTCTTGATTTGAGGTCATTTTTTTCAGAATCAAAGTTAAAATTGACGTTCTAGACCTTTGCTTTAACTACTTTTTGGTACATTATTAAGTCATATCGTCTTTCACATTAGGTCGCAGACATATGACCTTGAAGATGGTCAACCGGGAATGACTCTTTGTTAACCGGAAATTTTTGCATTATTTTCATGTAAAAATTACTAGAACTTTAGCTTTTAAGAATTAGTGTGAAGTCATGTTCAAATGAAACCAGAAGTGAAATTTTGTGAACCGGAAGTACCTATTTATCTACATTAATTTTAGCAAAAGTATATAAAATCTTATATATTTGGAATCAGCGTAAACTATTGTATTATCTGACACCAGAAGTGACTTTTATAGTCGAAAGGGAATATTTTCCTATCAAAACATGTACATTTGGGGTGGAAAGACCTTCAATTGTTATCTGAACAATTGGATCTTAATTTTTTTGGGGGAAAAGGGGGGGGGGGGGCGGCAAAGTTTGATCCAAATTTTTGTTTCGCAATATGTTGCTTAGATATATTCTATATTGTATCGTTCAGTTTATGCGCTTATAAATTTGACCCTGCTTAACCGAGTAATTTTCTGTGTGAGGGTTATCTCCCTGTACACTGTTTATCTTGTGTGTGCATCTCCTCCGTAACAAAAAAAGATATCGACATAATTCTTTTTTCAAATTGTTCGTTATATATCCTTATTGAGCTTTGGTCAATTTGGGGTGAAGCGATCCGGTGAAATTTTACAGGAGTTATCTACCCAGCACTATTCATTTTATCGGTATGTCAGTGTAACTCATTAACCGTAAGCTGTAAAGACCTAAGATCTTTTGATACGAGATCCTTGAGTTATAATTTGGAAAATCAGATCAAGGTCAAAAGTTAAGGTCATATTCTAAATTTTACCCTTTGTTAGTGTGTGCATCTCCTCTCAAACTATGAAAGCTAGATACAAAAGAACTAGTGCAAAATGTTTGGGTTGTTGAGAGGAACAATTTAATGTACAGATTGTACATGCAATCCTACTTTAATTAATATTTTCTAGTTTAATGATAAAAATACTAATCAGATAGTTTATATTAATATTCAATAAAATTGAGAATGGAAATGGGGAATGTGTCAAAGAGACAACAACCCGACCACAGAACAGACAACAGCAGAAGGCCACCAACAGGTCTTCAATGCAGCGAGAAATTCCCGCACCCGGAGGCGTCCTTCAGCTGGCCCCTAAACAAATATATATACTAGTTCAGTGATAATGAACGCCATACTAAACTCCAAATTGTACACAAGAAACTAAAATTAAAAATAATACAAGACTAACAAAGGCTAGAGGCTCCTGACTTGGGACAGGCGCAAAAATGCGGCGGGGTTAAACATGTTTATGAGATCTCAACCCTCCCCCTATACCTCTAGCCAATGTAGAAAAGTAAACGCATAACAATATAGTTTTAATACTTTTATAGTTTTTAACCATTTAACCAATTTGGCTGTATTATCCGTCAGTCAAGTAATCACTCATCTCAAATACACTATAGTTATTTAATAAATGATAATTGAGTATATGTTAGTAGTCATAACTACCTCAAAGAAGAATATGCTGACAAAGTAACACAATAGCTGAGTATAAAGCATGAAATGGACATCAGAATATAAATGATTGTGTATAACTTTAGAATATAGCAAAGTGCTCTCGACCAATGAAATTGTAGGATTTGATGCCTCTTAATTGTAAAGAATGAATGTAAATCATGTTCTTAGTAAGGGATTATCCTATTATTTGGGTCTATTTACAGTTCAAAACAAAGAGTGTCTATAAATGAGTTACAACTGCCCCGAAGCACATTTATCAGATTGAACGGATTTATCACAGTGATTGAAACTGACTAAACGTTGAATTGTGAAACAAACAAAAAACTCAAAATAAGTTGAAGTTTACTGTGCAGTAAAATTGGTACCGTGAATGTTAGTATGAAAATAATAATAACTTCAAATTACTTAATAATTAAACAATATCAAAGCATTTGCAAAAAAAGAAAAAAAAAGCTTTAAAATAAAAAAAATACCTTAATCTTTAGCTTTCCAAAACTTTGATCAGTGGATCAGCGGTTGGTAAGAATAGTTATTTCCAATATTCCGATAAAATAAAAAAAAAACAGGAATTTAATTTAAGTCTTGAACATATTAAAAACGTTTAAAGGCATTTTATTTTAACATTTCCCTGACATAATGAAATAGTATTTGATTTAAAAAGCCGTGCCAAATAATTGGCTGTTAAATAAATTTAGTTGTAACTCTAATGTATCATTTGATATAAACTGTAAATTAAAAAAAAAGGATAATTCCTCACAAAAATATTACATGATTTACATTCATACTCACAATCAGGAAACATATACAATTCCTGCATTTTCTTTGTTCTGTTGTGCCACCAAATATCTATAACGCATTTTTTTAAAAATATTTCCCAAATGATGAGAAAGTCCTTACATCACTAAAACTAATCCATAAATGAAATGCCTAAAAAGGAAGTCATGCATTAATTAAAAACATTGCACTGACAATGAAACTAATTCTTAAATACAACCAATTAAGAGATCATTTGAGCCTTGAGCACTTAACAATATTCTAAGTTTGTAAGAGAATGATAATCCCTTACTTCATGATAAGTACTCGCTAACGCTCGTACTTAATCATGAAGAATGGGATTATCATTCTCTTACATATACTAAAATGTCTCCCTTCATGCTGAATACAAATCAAAGGAATACTTTCACCGAACAAAGAGATTTCCCTCCACAGCTATACTTGTGATTTAATTGACCAATTAAAAGTGACTTCAACTGATCATCAATACAATGAATAGACATTTAAAGGGTTCATATACCATAACTCAGGTCATCACCTTTATTTCCATATAAAGATAAACGAAACAGCATGCTTCATTCTTTTATTATTAACATAAGATTCTATTATGTAAATAAATAAGTAAACAGATCCAATAAATATGTTCCAATGAATATTTTATTATCAAAACAGTAATTTCATACAAATCAAAGTACAATCATGAAAGTTAAGAATATATACAAACAAACCATTGAAATTTCACCCTTCCAAAGCCATTTGATGATATCTTATAGGAGTTATTGCCACTAAAATGTAAAAATTTAAGGT